AACTGAGGTTCTCAACATTTTTAGAAAACATTTTTAGAAAAATAAACATTCAACAAATCCTGTTATGCAATACCTTTAAATAAAAATCATTGCATTAAGAGTAAACAAATGCTTTTGATCATCTTGTAAAATCTTTACAATTCAAAAACGATGTCAGATCGAGTCAGCTTTAAGTAAACTTAATTATTCATGATAACAAATACAAGGGCACGTATGATTGAAACTATTGGTTATTGATATATTCACCACAATCCTTCTTCTAGATATACTGAAGACAGAAAAGAATGATCATAGGTACAAAATCCTACCTTACTTACATTCTCTAACACAGTGCTAATTTGCAGGAAAATGGCCCAAAAACTAAGCAGACATGTCAATCAATTATAATTATAGATTTTTCAAGAATTTATTGGAACTACACTAACACATAGTGCTTCTCCCTTCCAAATCCTGCTTTTTTTCCCCCATATTTTTTCATTGTATTGTTTTTAAATTAAACTTATTCTAAATTGTAAACTTTTTTTGGTTATAAGGGAACTAAGAATTGGGTTCAAGGATATTCAGGATTTTTTCATGAGCTAAAAGCACTGACTATATTTCTCTTAGAATGGGGAATGCTATAAATTCTAATTTCTCACTTCATGAACAATACAGCACACAGAGGCCAAGGATAAGCTCCACTTAGACTTTCCTTTCTTTGGTGTTTTACAACACTGCCTATGTGTTAAGGCGGATGAAGAAAAAGAAAAAACAATTCCATGGTACCTTTTAAAATAAGACACTTTGTTTCCATTTTATTTATTATCCCATAAGATACCAAACTAGAATGATCCTCCTAACATCAGTCTAAAGCTGTCCAGGCAAAGAGCTTAGTCAACCCCAAACTAATTCAAAAGGATGCACACGTGAGATCTGTGGCTCGTAGAGGGGCATATTTCGAGTGGAAATCTCCATTGATTTCCTACAGCTATGGCCTAAACGGCTGCAACATTCAAGAGAATGCCCTGCAGTCCCCACAGGCTGTGGCTCTCCTACATGACCATCCTTACAATTTTTGGAATGCATTCCAATCAGATAGCAGCACCTCTTATAATCTGGAGAAAATCCTTAAGCCATACAGGTAGCCACACCCATAAACATACTACTCTATTAATAAACATGTAAATCTCACCTAATCATCCTAAATTCTGGCCCTTTTCGTGTAAAACTAGTGATATAATCACATTAAAGCCATCCCCAGTCTCCATTTCCATCCTGTAAACAGAGGGCATGTGAGAGAAGAAAACATACAACCGTAGGCTGGAAAGGGAATTATGAAATACGCTTAGTCAACTCAATTGTCTGTCTGAATGCATGAAAGGCAAAGACATCCTTCAATCTACTAATCAGATGGTGGATTCTTCTATTTGAGTTCACGTTTATGTTTCAGTGATTCAGCTCTTGTATAATCAAATGGGACCACAGCTTGAAGAAGTGACAGGAGTCCCCATCTTCCCACCTGCCAGGGACACTGGCCTCACACTGTGCAGCTGACCACTGTTCCGTTTCTAGCTCGGAAGTCTCCTGCTGGCGCAGAAAATACAGAAAGCCTAATTTGTGGGATTGTGCCTGTCCAGATTTACTTAGCCTGGAGCTTGGCTCCGCAGTCAAGATCGGCCAGAGCCATGGAGGTAAATTTGTCTATTACATCCAACACACTCCACCCTATACTGCCATCTGATTTCAAACCGTCTTCGGAAGACAATTTCAAATCAGATGACTGAGGGTTACTAGAGCTTTCTTTCCCACGTGTGTTTGGGGTGATATTCCTACACCTGCAGCGGCCAAAATAGCCAAGTCTCAACATTAAACCTGGAAAATAATTGATCCAAATAATTGATCCAGAATTTACATATTAAGACTGTAAAAGACTGACTGGAAGATAAGGCTCCTCCCAGTTTATTGAAAAACACCACAGATCAAACACAAGACTTCTTCGCCTAAATGTTAGGCTTGCGTAATCGAGCTTGATGTGGTAGGAGTAATAATTCGGTGTAACATCTTTTGATGTGTGAGCACTTATCCAGTGAGTAACTAGTAACTGAAATTAGCAGAAAAAAAGGAAAGTATTGCTAAATAGGCAGTACTCATGTGACACAGGTATCATTTAGATGGCGAAAAAAAATCTGCTAACAGCCTTTAGTTAATGATCAGCATTCTACCAGTGGGAAGGGAATGATGTATTGGTCTAAACCTCCTCAAATGTCCATAGGCCCAAACAAGAAAGCTGAAGATGTAATTCATAACTAATTCAATGCATTTAAGTGGTCTCATTTGAGCCACTCACATATTTGTGGCCAATATACTTGTCTTCTTGAGATTAAAGGCAATTTGAAACTGCCTCCCATGCCAACCTTTCTACGGAAAAAGAAACCAAAGTCCCCAAATCTGAATTGTTGCCAAAATATTCACTAGATCAATTAATAACCAAACAGGCTTACTTGACGTAATCACTGTCTGATACGTAAGATAGATTATGATGAGCAGGTCAAAGGTTAAACTGTACAAAAATTAGATGGGCCAGGGTACTCCCCAACTTGGTCGTCTCCAATCAAAACCATCCCTTCCCGAGAGCCTGCTACGGGCCAGGCAGCAGGCAACACCTGGGGGAACACCTGTTATAAACAAAACAGACATGGTTCCTGCCTTTGCGAAACATTCAGAATAGTTAGAAAAACACTCTAGTCAAGTCACCAAATGCACAAATGAGGGAACTGCTAGGAAGAAGTGTCCACTGTGCTGTGAGAGCCCAGAATGGCAGATGGGATTACTCAGAGGTCGGGAACAGGAGCTTAACAGGATGAAGAGGCGAGGCAAGAGCCATGTGCTGAGTCATTCTTAATTAGAGAGTTCTTTTGAAAACACTTAGGCCCTCACAACCTGGGAAATAAATTTTGCTAATTGAAATGAAAAACTACACATCTTCCAAGGATACATGTAAGTGTATTGATTGCCTCCAAATTGATAACTGGGCAGAATGCCAAAAAGTTCAGTGCTGCTCTGGATGTCATTTAAGTCATTTTTAAAAGGACATCGCAGGGCTGTTTCAAGACGGTGATGGCCGGGAAAGGGGGAGAAGATTATGGAAGAAGGACATAAAGAAAGGAGGATTGGAAAATGGAGCCTGGCTGGGTCATTCAGTTGGTTAGAGCATCATCCTGATACACCAAGGTTGTGGGTTTGATCCTTGGCTGAGACACACAGAAGAATCAACCCATCAATGCATAAATGAGTGGAACAAATCAATGTTTCTCTTTCTCTCCCCCTTCCCCTCTCTCTTTCAAAAGATAAAACATTAATAACGTTTAAAAAATGGAAGGAATATTTTTAAATGAACAAATTTGAGTTCATTGGGATGGGAGTAAGTACCATATTTCACTGTGAACTGTTAATAAGAAAGCCTGAGGTGTAGTAAAAGCCTAGGAAAAAAATGAACCTGACTGTAGGATTTCAGCAATTACACATTAAAGTTACTTTCATTACGAGACTCTAAATACTGGTTATACAGCCACTTGACAGTGGCTGGCATTAAAAAGTGATGTACAGTAAATATTAAGGTGTGATTCAGACCTCAAAAGAACAGTACATTCCTTAGGCCCAAGGCTTAGGCACCTCTTAGAAAATCTAGATATACCAGGCAATTAGTACCTGTTAGTACCTACAGCTGTGGGGACCACGGGTTTTACAAGGAACTGTAGTTAAAGACTGAAGGTAATCTAGTTTTTAAGAGGAGTCACAGCCCAGACTAGACTGGGGCAGCTAAAGAGTCAAGACAATGAGGTCAAGGTTTTGTGAAATTCACCTAGATTTCAGCTTGTATTTCCCCCTATACATTTACTTCTACATTAACATGTATTACACACCTATACCTCCTGTGATAACTCTTAAAGGTCCTCATACAATCTGTATCCTCAAATTGGACACATGGATCTTTAAAAATAAGAATAGTAAGTACAATTGTCCACATCTTTCTATACGGATATCATAAAACAGATGGGGTGGAGCTTTGCTAATGAACGCACATGCTGGGAAATAGATCTCAAATCCAATGATTTGAACAAGTACAAACTTGGCTGCTGTAGTGTCCAAGAAGATATATTTCTGCCTTGAAGACTTGAGACTGTAAATTGCAAATTTCCTAGCAGGTTCAGCACTACTTCCAGAGACAAGAATACAGGGAATGCTCGCTTATGCCAGACCGCATCCTTTGAGAACTTCTAAATACTCCTCCAGTGTTTGTTTATCCAACCGAGTCCACAGGCAATGCACTGAGCGAAAAGGAAGACGCTGCCCTGTTTGCGAAACCTGTCATTCCGTTCGGTGATGCAGCGTCTGCCCAGGTTTTCTTTGGCTCCGAGGGAGCTACACCCCAGGCTTTCTCTGCATCAGGAAGGCGGTGTCTGCTCCAGCCGCTGCCGCAGGACGACTGGGTACCAAACCCTGGTCGTTCCAGGCACAGCTAGTAACAAGGACTGTACGGGGCGGGGATCCCACGGGTCACCCCTTCGCCAGGTTACAACACGGCTTCTGGCCAAGCAGCTGACTTTCCTCATCTACGAGAAAGCGGGGCCGGGGATTCAAGACTCGACCGGGGATCAGTTTTTCACGGATTCCCCACGCAGCCCCGGCGTCTCGGATTGGGTCGCTACCACCGGAAGAGTGTGGAGAAAGGCTCTGTAAGCGGCGCGCAGGGGCAGGATTTTATGACTGCGGATGGCGCAGTCGCCTCCCCCGGGGACCCGCGACAAAGATGCGAGCCCCCCGCCACGCTTGCTGCTTGCTCTGGTCTCGCCCCGGCGCAAAGGGAAAAGAAAAAGGAAAAAAAAGAAACCCTTAAAAGGGGGTTTCGTGCGCCCGAGTTTGGAGATGGGCTGGACGGGCTGGGAAGTTCTTGCAAGCAGAAATCAGAGGAATTCCCCCACCCCCGCCTCCCCGCGGCAGGTGGCCCGGCGCTCGCGTACCTTGGTGGCGGGGTCCGCGGCCGCGAGGGTCGGGTCTCCCGGAGCTCCCGGCGCCGCCTCCGCCGCGAGGCTGCCGCCGCTGGGCTCGGGCTCGGCCGGCGTCCGGCTCCCCGCCTCCGGCTGCTCCGGGCTCCGCTGCTCGGTGGAGCTTCCAGCACCCATGGCTACTCTGCAGTTCTCCCGCTTCCAGCCGCCGTGTTACGCCTTCTCCAAATCGCAGGGACACCGAGCAGAGCCAGAAGCCGTACGCCCGTGAGGTCCCAAGAGCGCCTTCCTCGCCTGCTTCTCCTCCGAACGCGCCCAGACTGCGAAAGCAAGAGACGCGCTCGCGGCAAACTCCTTAAAAGAAAAAAAAAAAAAAAGCCACCTCTTTGCCTCCTCCTCCTCCTCCCCCTTGTTTTTCCCTCGCTTCATCACATGAGCACAGCCCAGACACGCCTTTCAGCAGCATCTCCCCCCAGGCTGCTAGGACCCGAGGCGCAGCGTGAGTCGCGGGCTGAGGTCCCGGCGAGCAGCCCCCAGGGCGCCTCCTGTTCAGAAATGGGGACCAGAGCTGGGGAACGACCCAGGATTGTCTCCGGTGAGAACAGGGAGGACAGAAAGCCTCCGGGGAGACTGGATTAGCCGGGGTTTATTAAATGATAGATACCCCGAGGCAGGAGCTACTGCAGCGGCTGACTTTCAACTCGCCCAGAAGGGAGCCCAAAGCCCCATTATCTTGCCTTCAGATTGTGGGACGCGAAACGTTTGTTCCTGCCCCCTCCCCATTAGCAGGAGAAAAGCAAGCGCTCCTTGGCTCCTCCGTAGTCGGACCATATTAGGACACCTCACGTGGCAGCGGCGGGGAAGGAAAGGTTAATGCAGTCAGGCCACGGATGAGGTGAGCCGGGCGGCCCCACGCGCTCCTATCATCCGGAACAGTGATGTCAGGCGATGTCATCAGCGACACTGGCCGCCTTCCTGCCCTGGGGAATTTAGAGAATGAGACGGGTTACTGGAAATGAGGGCCTGGTGCTGAAGGTCCAGGCCACTTCTCCCTGCGCCATGCTGGACCGTGATGGGATAGATCTGTTCCTTTGCATCAGTATTTCTCCGCAGATAAAAGCTCTAAATAGTATCAGTCTAAGTGGCCTGCTTTCTTAGAAAAGCATGGCCTTCATGCTTTTGAATATAGTGTTTGTAATATGAATATCACAGGCAGTCAATAAATATTTGAACTACATTACATTTTTAGCTGGATTATTTGACACGTAAGCATGAAGGCGGTGGGGCTGCAAGAAGAATCGCCCCAGTTTTTGCTGGCAAATTAAGCACCTTCTTTTTCACAAATAATTGGAATGTTGACATTAGACGCCAGATAAATCTCCCATTCCCAGATTTAATACAATTTAGTAGAGAGTTGATGTAAGCAGTAGGTCTGCACTGGAATGTTTTGTGCCTAATTAATTATGTGTTATTTAGAATAAAATTTCTCTGAATTTATCATTTTTATTTGAAGGACTACATAGGGACTTTCTCTGGAATTTTACCCCTTAAGCAATATATTTGCTAAATGGTTGGCTTTCAGCATTTTTAAGCCTTTCACCTGCTTCAACTTATATGTTGACTATATAATCACATTTAGTCCTTCCAACAACCACCCTATGAAATAGGTCCTATTATTCTCATTTTATCAATGTACTGGGGAAAAGTAGGCGCCAAGAAATTAAATCAGGTGCTGGAGGTTTCACAGCTGGCAGGTAGAATTGTGAGGAGCCCAGTCCTCTGACACTGAGTGGATCCGCGCCTCACTCTCCGGCAGGACGCTTCCAGTGGGTTCTCTCTTCTCCGGATTGTTAGTGAAAAGTCGCATTTAGACCTCAGCTAGGATGTTAAGAGCTAATAACACTCATAAAGACTATTTGAGAATGATTAACTCAGCACATCTGAAAATGTATCAGTAGGTGGTACAAATACTATCAAAATTTCCCATTCTGTAAGATTACATTTATTCAGTTCTTGGGAAATTCTTAACAAAGCTTTTCACATCTCCTAGCCTTTATAGATTACAAGGTCAAAGATTTCAAGCCAACAGTATACAACCCACATGCGGAGGAAGGCATCACCAGTATCTGCTTAGATTAGCAACGACTTGCTTCATGTTTATTTTTCAGGCAGTGAAAATGCTCGTGTTCTTATTTTTTAAAGCAAATTCTTATTTTTAAAAACAGATTCTAGTACTCCCTTTCCTGCCTGAAACAGCTCCATGATAAGAAGGTGTTAAGAAGAACGGGCTCCTTTGTAGACTCACACAGGCGCACACATGACTGCCTTTGGTTCCTAGACTGACCAAAGAATCTTTTCCATTTTACTTGTAGATGGAGGTTATCCCTTTTTTGTTAAGAAGAGTGGTTATGTTATTTACTATCCCAGCAATAAGATGTCTCAGCCTTTTTGGATATGCTATTAATTCTTTAGAACATTACAAAGTTCATTTGTTCATTCACTCATTCATTCATTCATTCAACTCATTTATGGAGTGCCTATGGTGTGCCAAGCACAGTTACTGTCTTCCTGCTCAAGACTCTAACTGCAATGACCAAGGTTTTCTTCTCTAGCATTTTGAGGACTCCTTCGGAATTGCTTGCATTAGGGTCAGTGATGGGGAGGAAGGCAGCTGTTCTCTCTTTTCCACTTCTCAGCGCACGCCCGGCTGTCAGTTACCCCACCTTCTCCCCAGCAGCCCGTCCTCCCCCCAACAGCAGGACGCAGGTGTTCCCGCACGTCTTCTCCCATGGGACAGTTGGTGCTAGAGTCGTTTCCCAGTGGGAGTTCCTGTTCTCATAAAAAACAGTTTGAGATCTCTCAAAAACAAACACACATTGCCCGCATAGCAGGCTGAACTTGTGCGTTGTATGCTAACTTCTCCAGAAAGACAGGTCACACGAGATTTCCCAATAAAACTTAGAGCCGTAGCTAGACTATCTTGTGCATACACCAAAACATATTAAAATGTTTTAAATGAATTCAGAAATGTGAGCATTTTACAACTGAGTTAATACAGCCCCTAGAAAGATCAACAGCAATTACAATTATTAAAACAGAATTTCAAACCAACACTTAGATTCTTTCTCTAGCTACAAAGCCTTCACGCAATTTCACTCAGCCCTGACAACTCTTCACTCTGCAAACGAGTATCACTTATCACTCCTTCATTTTCCCTTAAAAAAAAAAGGCAATGTATTTACTTATGTTAATTGAATGTATTGGGGTGACATTGGTTAATTGAATTATATAGGTTTCAGGAATACGATTTTATAATACATCATCTGTGTATCGTATTATGTGTTCAGCACCACAAGTTAAGTTTCCTTCCATCACCATTTCTCCTCACTGTACCCTCCCCTCTCCTACCTTCCCTGACTCCTCTTTTCCTCTGGTAACCACTATACTGTTGTCTGTCTATAAGCCTTTTTTTCTTTTTTTTTTTTTTTTTTTTTGCTTAATCCCTTCACCTTTTTCACCCACCTCCTCCCCTGTTCTCTGTATCTGTGAGTCTGTTTCTATTTTGTTTGGGGGGTTTTTTGTTGTTGTTGTTCATTACATTTCACATACAAGTGAAATCCTATGGTATTTGTCTTTCTCTAATTAAAAAGCTTACTTTCTTTTTAACCAATTACTTACCTCAAGATGTCTGTCATTTAAGAATCCAACTTACTATAAAGAAACTAGAAGAATTAGCAATTTTATACGATTCATGTGTAACTAATAACCCAACATTCATATAGAAACTATTGAAAAAGTCACTTTACAAATGAAGTTCAAAGGCCAACCACCTATAGATATATATCATATATACAAGTATAGGCAAACGCTATCCTTATAACTTTTAAGGAATTTATTGCTTTTGGGTTAAGTATATAAAACCAGCTATTTGTGTAGCAATTTCACTTATTAAGATTTAAAATTGGCTGCTGACTCAAGTCTAAGATTACGATAAAGGAGTTAATCCTTTCAATGTGTGTATATAGTTTTCATTTATATTTTTTCAGTCACTGTGCAAGCCTTTACAGAAGCAATCATTGACAGAGAACTAATTTGGCATAACTGCTGTCACTTTGTTCAAGATTATCTAAATTATAAGCAAACAAAAGCATGTAATTGAAATGCATTCACCAGTAAGTCAGTATTGCTTTGGCTCCTCATTTTTCTAGAGTTGAGCTGCTCTACACCCACTTAGGGTTGGAACCAGGATACAGCAAATAATTTGCCCTGTATGGAGGGAGAATTTCTCAGGACACATTTTTGGAGGATACCTGAAGATACCTGGAAGGTTTCTGCACTCCAAAGCAGATCAAGTTAGAATAACCCTGAGTTTAAATCCTAGAAGAGTCCCGTAAATATCCAACATTTTTAAAATATATAGTTTAACATATTACTTCAAACTTTTATTTTAAGAGCCAAAATGCTTGGGACTTTTCAAAGCTGGAAACTTCGGTTTTATAAGTCAACAAAGCTTACACAAAAAAAAAAGAAAAAAAAGAAAAGACATTATAGAGACATACATTGTAAACTATTGAAACGTTTTAATGTCCCTTTATTAACTTGAAGGCTTTTGTGAATTTTTAATCTCAGATTTGCTATAAGGCTGCCTATAATATCAAAATATACTTCAATTATGTTTTTGCATATGATTAAGAACCTAATAAAAAGACCAATCAATGCTTGACCTGAAGAAGAATTACTAAAATTGTACAAAAGGGAGGTTGACTATTTTCTCCCATTTTAAAAGCTTCTATCCAAATCTCAGTTGATGTCCTGGTGTGATTCTGTGTTCCCAAGGAATTGTTTCAACTCTCTGCTGTGTTTTTTTTTTCAATGACTTCTTGTCATTCCCACAAATGCAGTATCTATACAAGGGGTAGCTGTGATAAATCACAATAAAAGATAGAAAATCAATAGTGAAATTAGATCTACTTCGCCTCTCATCCTTCCTCCCAAAGTGTTACTTCATTACAATTTCATTGGGAGCATAATTAATTACATGAAAAAGATTCCCGAATCTGCAGCTGCTCCTGCTATTAAATCATTGAAAACTGAAAAGTGAAATAATCATCTGGATATGTTGTTTTGAATGCTATTGTGCTCCTGAGAATTCTATGGAAGATATTACAAGTGAATATTTGAATTTTACTTTCTATGGGAGAATCTGAAACACTGGTTATTTCAAAGTATGAAATTACAGAGTGTTTTCCTGAGTTAAAAGTGATGGGTTGGTGAAAATAATATCCAGTAAATGATTGCAATATCCAGTATTTCAAGCAAAACTTTACAGAACAAATTCCATGATTGGAGGTTGCCAACAGCCCCTTAGAATTTTTTTTTTTTTTGACAGCTTTATTGAAGTATAACTGGCATAGCAGGAACTACATACATTTAAAATGTTCTACTTGATGTGTCTTGACAAACATACATCTTTGAAACCACTACCACAATAAGAGATTGGGTAAATAAGTACCCCAAAGTCCCCTTGTATGCCTTTGTCATCTCTCTATCCAGTCCCTCCTCATCCCACCCTGCCTTCCCAAACAACCACTCATCTGCTATCTGTCACTCTAGTTTGCACTTTCTAGAATTTTACAGAAAGTCATAGAAATGGAATCATCTACTATGTACTTTTCTTCATCTCCTTTCTTGCAGAATTTTTATATTTAAATGCATATATGTTGTTAGATTTAACGATAGTTAT